TAAAATCCCTGGTTCTTTCTGAATTAATGAGCTTACATTACAAAATAAATAACTAAATTATAATAAAACTGTGAAAATCCATTTTGTAAAACCCTTTGTTCCTGGAGCCAACGTCCATTAAATAATATCTAAGAGAACGGCTATATTTGAACATCCTCTGTGCCAAAGATCAACTGGTCTATTACATTACATGAAATTGTTTATTTATCAATGGATCAAGTAATGAATTAATTAATTTCATTTTTGTTTCTTTATTTACTTATTTATAATATATTTTCTGTTTTGGGTTTTTTTTTCATTTAATCATGTCATTTAGCAGTACATTTAAAATTTGAACCATCTGGTACAACCGATCACGAATGTGACATGTGTCATACATATTTTACTATTTCCAGGTATCCGCAGGCTTCGTGACCGATACTTGTGACCTGTTCAATTTAACAGGTATGTGGTTATCCTGTTTTTTTTTTTTCTTCTTCTTCTTTCATATATTTTGGACTACGTAAATACACAATCAAACTATGGCGATACTTGTCTTACATAGGTTCATGATCAATGACGTTATTTGTGTGTTCGATAAGTAGATTATACTGATAATTTCAAAAGAAAATATTGTTTTCACGATTGGAAAGATTGTTACTGCCATTTTATTTTTTTACGCTCTCCGCTTTACCGTCTATTACCAGAAAGGAGAGAGAGAGAGAGAGAGAGAGAGAGAGAGAGAGAGAGTGAGAGGGAGAGACCAGTCACATCATATGCATACTTTGTGCACTTTTTACTTACATAATTACCAATAAAACATGTTCTGTATGATTGCCTTCAGTCCCAGAGGGGTTTGTACAGCTGGGGAATCCTTCAGAGTGGTATTCCCACGGGACAAACAAAGTGTGGGAAGAAGCCAGGTCTTACTGTCGGTCTCTTGGCTCTTCTGTCTTCCTGACGACAATTGACGATGCCGAAGAGAACGCTGTGCTTGTTGATTATGTGCACGCCAATGGTGGAAGTAAGGACTCTCACATTACCATCTCACAATAATTACGCTTTTGTGTTTAACTGTGGTAATATTGTTTATCAATGACTTGAGTGTTAATATTTTTATTGTTGTTATTGTTTATGTCAATTTGTAGTTCTTAATTACTTAATCTACTTCTTGTTGTTACCCTCTTTGCCTCAATGTCATGTACATGTATACATCAAAGACATTATATAAATTTTATTTCTAAGGTAACAATTATTTCAAAATGTACTTGTGCTACAGTAATTTTAAAAACAAAAATGTCTATTATATTTTGTAGCCCATTTTTACACCGATGGTATCAATACCGGCAGCTATTGGGTTTGGGACCACACCGGGGAGAACCTGACGTACACCAACTGGGCAAGCATTGCGGACGGTATCGCGTGTTTTATCGTTCTTGTTATGTCGGACACTGCTGACCCGCTACATGGGCAATGGTACAGAATACCTTGTGATCACCCCTTTGATTTTGTCTGTAAACTTTATCCCTCTTTCAAATAATGGTCGTAAGAAAATATGCTGAGAGACTGTACACGAGATGGGATGTTTATTGATTGGGTATTGGTTATTCATTGGTTCTTGTACTGAATTTTCTGATTTATAAATGCCAGCCTATAGATAATTATCAGTGGATCATTTTTCATTCTCGGAAATTTAATTTATTGGACCTTGCACGCGTTACTTCCTACGAACATGTGACAGAATTGGCTCACATGTTGCCCTTCTGACATGGGCAACTAAAAATGGTTTGGTTGATGGTGGGTGTTAAAGACCTCCAATATCTGTACATACGAGCAGGTTGTTTGTGCAGGGCATCCACCGTGTGTTTTCATCTTCTAATAGATATGTTGACATTTAACGATTGGAGTACTTTAAACAAGTACTGACAGCTTTCAGAATTTTTTTAAAGAAACGTTTGTCTATTGATGAGACTATTTCCCTGCTGGACCAAGGAAACCACACACAAAAAATTGCAACTGTTTACTTCGTGTTTGTTGATTGTTCATTTCAATATTAGTTTCCAATCTCTAATATTTGTCAGAATTTTAGTTACTTTGTCTAATTATCATGCACTGTTACGTTAAGTCATACCTCCCTGTTTTAATGGCAATAACAATCAATAGATCTTAAACAATATCATGAGATGTGCACTTGTGTTTTCGACTCCTTCAAGCTTGCATATAATATCAATACTCCTCGAATAAACATGCATTACTATATCTTTAAAAAGTGGTATTTAAGAATATATTTGAGAATATCTACCCGTCTATGTATAAATGTTTGTGAAAGAATCTGAATAAACACAGATGCTTTTTTCTCACGCTGGGGTTTGCCTCCTTTTGTAAAACACTAAAATGCCCTGGAAACAGACAAAGAGGATGGATGCATTTCTTTTTCTTCTTTCCCCCATTCATTGCGAACTCACTTTTAAACAAAGGGCAAATCTCTAAATAATGTTTTAAACAAATAGTTTTATTTTGACTGGCACAAGTCTATATAAACTCATGGAGCTTGATATGTAATGGACCAAAGTCTAAGCAAATTTTCAAAATTAAAAAAAGTATTTTATGTCACTGGACCCAGTGAAGGTAGCGATACATGGAAAATTTCCAAAGTTGACAATTAACCAGAACCGCTTCAGTGGTCCTACTCAAAATCTGGTATTTTAACTTTTCAAATCGGTATAATAAAAAATACAGAAATACTTCATGAATTTGTGCAAAATAATCACTGTGTTATTAATGAAGTTTATTCGACCCGCACCGTCAGGTCTTGCAGTATTCATGAAAACATCCACATCCAATCTCTACACATTCGCGTGTATTCTACCCATTATTTAGGACATACTGCCATTTTAGGTAGATCTATGCTTCCGTTGTTAATTAGCTGAGACAGTAAATTTAAGATTTTAAGTACTGTCATGTTGGCAACTTTGAAAATAAGATGCATATTAAAAACAGAGATATGTCCAGTCTCTCGCTAGAATAAAGGCCTTATTTTAGAATATCGAATTTCTTTAGTCTTTCTCAGTCATAGCAAGGAGTTATAACAGATTTATAACTCCTTGGTCATAGTAGACTACTACCCATGTGCCGCGAAGTGCACCGAAGCACAAAGACCTCGACAGGTCAACATCCGTTTGTGTGACAACAATTTAAGGTAATCTAACAGACAACAGTGATTTTGTTTGTCCCTATTGAATCAATGCAAACACCCAACCAGAAGATGGTGCCATCGTTTCAGAGAAAAAAAGCAATAGAAACGTCACATGCTCTCCATTGTAGGACACCTTTTATTAGCTTCTAGCGTTTCGTCATCAGCACTTGCTGATCAAGTTTTCATAGGTCTTTCGAGCATTGGAGGCACTTTTCTCTACACCTGGATACAGTCCCAGTGACCATATAAGAAAATGGGTAACAGATTCCGTCCTCCATTAGATTCATACAGGTTAAGGTTACTGTGACGAAAGTGGGGTACAGTTTACTGGGACAGGTGTAACAGGAATGGTATATCGCTAGGAACCATAATCCTTTCCCCATTACTTTGTACAGGTGACTTTCGTCTCATATACTAACCTCAATACTCCGACTAACCCTAACCTGTGCTAATCATATGGGAGCCCGGACTTCCATTCCTTGGACTACCATTCCTGTTACACCGGGCAGTGTGTCAGAGTGAACAATCTAGACTATCTCCAGGCGAGCAGTGTGTTAGTTGTGCTATCCAGTGGTTGTGCCAAATGCGCCGCAATACACACTTGAACATTCGCTTTTCAAAATTTTAGATAAAGATATTAAACGAAGCTAATTTCTATGATCTCTTTACCTGCATACGACGTAAAAGCAGGAGAAGTTCTTAGGCAACAAATACGGATAAGTCTCACTAATGAAGTATTGCTGTTCCTAAAACATATTTTTTAAGTAACAGTATCAATATTTACCGCATCCCTCGCATCTTAAAGTCCTATGGACTGACCAGGATAAAGAGGTATTGCAGTTATTTATTTAGCCATTTTTTAAAGTAAACTTGCATTTCTTTTCTTCATTTTTACGATCACTATCATCGTTGAAAGAGATCAGCCTGTTTTCAAATATACGCCTGTATTTGTGAACCTGTTCAACCCTGTTTGGATTTCACCTCAAAGAGAAAACGGACCATCAGATTGCGTCCTCGGCCAACAAAATTATTTTCACCGATTAAGTATGAAAGCACTCGTAACAAACCTAATAACAATATTAATTTATTTTTCTCACTTAAATCAGTTGGATTAAACAAATGATTGAACAAATGATATAAAACAAACCTTTATCCTTGGTCATCACCAATAAACTCTGTATACAAATAATTTTTTTCAAAAAAAAAAAAAAAAAAAAAAAATCCGGTATAAAGATTCAGTCATTCAGGGCCAATTCCCAGTGAAACTAACGTTCTTCATAGATCGACCCAACTCCGCAGATACTTCTCGCTGAATACAATCAGATTAACACGCCTCCTTTTGTTTCCAACGTACTGGTAAAATCAACTTGTCTGTATTTTACTCAACGCCGGGGGGGGGGGGGGGGGCTTTGTTAATTTATTAAATTACTTGCATTCAGTGAGTGCCCTCGCAGTTGGATCGATCTACGTGACACGATAATTTTATCTCGAACGAGCCCTAAAACTTGTTCAGCCCACTTGATAAGCTTAGTTGTACTAAGTACTAAGATAAGCCGCATGACTAGAGAGCACTGTTTACTAAATCTTCTCTTCTACCCATATATTTAGTTCAATGTCACCATATGAAAGTCTCCAATAACACAATAGAGGCATTAACACAATGGGGGCATTCAGAACTGAGAACTAACAAGTCCGAGGGTCAAATATGGCGACCCTCTACAAAGCTTGCCGTCTAATCCGCTAATAGACACTGAATAGATATCCCGTGGGGAAGTATTCAAGTGGGTCTGCCATATTTGACCCTCGGACTAGTTAGTTCCTTGTTCTGAATGGGGCCAATTATACCTGGCCACTGCACAACGGGTATCTAAGCACAATGGAAAAATGTGACCAAAAACGTACTATCAACTTCTATTTTCATTCTTAACAAGATCCTTGCAAAAGCAAAATTTCTTCAGTATATTTAACTTAATACAATCTCCGTGAGATCCGAAGGCATTCAATCTGCTAACATCTGACGTCACATTAAAAGCATTTCTGGTGACGTCATAGCGCACTGTAGCCTCAAACTTCCCGCCGCCGGGACGAGTGGAAAGAGTTATCATGTAGTCCTGAAAAGGTTCTTTTGTGGCCTTGTCGTTGTATTCTGGGTTGCCGTACCACGTGGAAGTTCTAAATCGTAACACTTTGGCATTCACCCCAATCTTAAACAGTTCGTGGATTTCGCTCAGCTTCAATAAACTGCACGCTGATAGGTTGTTTGATGTCAGCAGACCATTGATGTAACCAATCACCGCCTTTGACACATTTGGAGCTAATGCAGAGTCGGGAGAGACGGCGGTCCTCCGCGAGCACGTGCACCAGTGCGTCTCCACACCGGCCTGAGAGCATGTCCTGGATTTTGGAATTTTCTTAAACAGGGACATTCCTCTGCTTACAGCATTCTTGTAGATGTCAGCAGAGGCTGTGCGTATGTTGTCTGGGTCGAGCACCTCAGCGATTGACGCATGAACGTCAAAGGGGGTCGTAAGCACCTCGGCGTTGTGTTTCAAATTCCGGAGAATTTCAGGATAGGAATGAGTTAGTGATTCCGGTAAAATGATGGACATCAGAGGTAACCGGTCTTCCAGTTTTCCTACGAATGTTTCCCGCACTTTACCCCAGCGGATACCGTGGTCGCTGAACAGGACGACCAACGTGTCATTAAGGTAACCACCGTTTGATAAAAAATCTAAAAATGACTCCATTCCGGCGTCCAACATCCTCGCGTCGTTGTGATCGTTGTGTGAGATTTCGCTTAGGAAAGAAAAACTGAAGAACGGTTCTTTGTTCCTTTGTTTAAAAGCGAGGAAATCTTTCAGCCACTCAATGAGAAGAAGATAACGAGGTTTGCCACCCAGGCAATACGTTCTACTGGTATTAAATAGTTCGGTGTTCCACAGAGAAATCCAATATGGCTGCATGTAGTAGTCTGTAGGGGGCGAGATAAAACCTATCCTACCAGTAGTAAAAGTGCTTCCCGGGAAATCTTCCGCATAAAATGTCTGAAATCCCTTTTCCGCAAAGTTCTTCCATATAAAAGGAAAGTTATCAAAATGATAAAACTGGTCTAAATATTTTCCGAAGGTCCAAGTCAGCTCCTCGTACGTTTTTCCTGTGAGAAGTGCTATAATGTTTGGAAGGGTGTTGTCCGCAACTTTATTGTAGCCATTAAAAGTTACTGAATTGGGAAAGCTAAGTAGACGTTGGCGAGATCGTGGAAATTGTCGAATGAAATTTGAATGCGACATGGAATCCATGCCAAATAATATAACGTTCGTTTTAGCAGTTTTGCCGCCATAATTTGAATATAAGTTCCGTTTTCCATAAGTCCTCTTAGACCCACTTTCATTTATCCCTTCAGACCCGAGTTTTCCACTTTCCTGAGTTCCACTGTTATTAGTCCTCACAGACCTGTCACTATCAGTCATCTGGGACCTGTCTGACTCATCTGTGATGTAAGCATGGTAGTTAGTGTAGGTGACGTCATTTTTCTTCGTGCCATAACACGTGACTTTCACAAAGTTTTCGTCGCTTTTTAACCGATGGCATTTATGTAAATCAAATTTGATTTCATCCTCGAAGTGAACCTTGAAGTCAGAATTGTCGACTCTTTTGATATACTGAAAGCTGCAAGTCTCAGTACGTTCAAACCACGAAGACTGGAAAAAGATCCACACTAGCATTTAATTGACTGAGTTTTTAGAGAAAAAAATGCAACTATACTTTTTCGTAAGGACAAAAAGCAGCAATATAGTCCGCTATAGAACCTACCTCGCCTGTATTGGCCCCAGTTTATAAAATATTAGCAGAATAAAATATATGAAGAATAAAATGAAGACAAATTCTACGATCAACAGAGCCGCTTGGCACGGATAAAAATGGTTAATTTTGAAAAACATTTACTATTACCATCATTATCATCAGGCCCGTGGCCAGCAATTTCAAAGGAGGGGTTCTTTTTCTGAAAAAGTGGACCTTTTACCATATAATCCCCATGTACCTAGGTCAAATTTTACCCAGAGTGGACCTTTTTTCCAACAAAAAGGGGGGGGGTCTTTCGAACCCCCCGAACCCCCCCTGGCTACGGGCCTGATCATTATTTTTTTTTTCAGATATTTCTCTGTCTAGCATAAAATTAATACTATTATTATCATTATTATTACATTTCTCACATATTGCATCTGACTAGCATACCTTCATCTCCGTGGTATTAACATAGAGACATCCATCTTTGATGTAAGTCAGAGGACGTGACCATGGCACGTCACACACCAGAGGGGCACTTTCCCTGAGTAAGTGTTTAATACTAGGATGATAGGGGTCCAAACGGGGGACGTCACACTCGCCAACTTGGTCCTCAAATACTGAAATTTGTAGGTCGTGCAAAATGGCCGGGATTATGTCGGAGAAAATCTCTTTGCGGAAATGAAATGCGAACGTAGCACAGAATACGTAGACCAGGAGCGAAAGAAGTATTTTTCTATAGCGTCTCTTCATGGCCATGGAGGGAAATGGTTTGTGATGGCCTTAGTTAAAATACGTGGGAAATCCGCCGTGGTCTTGAGGTGTCAGAGATGGACGCCACTTCCATTTTAAAGAGACCTGTAATAGAAGTAGAGCAATAAATATGAAGAACTACTATTTTATCTTTAAAAACACGGTATTTTCAGTAGATATTAAAATATAAAATGTTCAAAATATTTAGCATTTATCCGTCTATATTTACAGATAAAAATATTAAGACCCACAAAATAATTCTTGGTGGTAGCAATAGACCAAGAACTATTGATTGGTGCAAAATTCTAGCGAAAAATCTACACATTTCAATGCATATCTTTCCTATTTAGTATATTTGACAATACTTGAAGAATCCTCCCGTTATGTCCGGTATCTCGGAGTGTTCCAAGCAGTTCCTATTAGAGCGCAGTCAGAACACATAATCCGCGGAATTACTGATCCTCGGACTAAGTATGGCCGACCCCACTCAAAAGCAAACCGCTTTTAAGCTACTGATGGTGTCACCACCTCCACACGCGACATTTATAGGGATATCACAATAACTCTTCGTATGAGATCTATATTTCACAATAAAAACATTGTGAACACCTCATAGAAAAATATCATATATTCTCTTTTACCACAAAAACGGTAGTTATAGCAATAAGGCCTATTCTGATATCTGAGCTTGTCTTCAGACCACGTGACCTCCACTGATGGCTATACTCTGTTATAATCTCCGCAGAACTGTTTGTTCAGAATGCGCTCTAAGTGACGTCTATTCAGAAGACAGCTTGTTTTTAGATTAAAATTACACACAAAGAACTTCAAGACACGAAAGTTTATAGGTATTTTTAAATAGCCTGTCATAAATTCAAGTAAATTATTTAAAATTATCATAAAATCAGGGTAAGACTGGGTTCCCATACCTACCGCAGTAGATCGATCTGGCAGGATCGATCCATCTCCGAGGGGTTTCTCGCTAAATTGCTTTATGCGTAAGCGGCTAAGATGTCTGGCACGCCTACTGAACCTGAAGCCCTCGCAGCTTCGGTAGGCCGCAAGGCGTGCCAGACATCCAAGCTGCTTAAGTTGATTGCAATTTAGCAAGAATTCTCTCGGAGATAGATCGATCACAGTTAGTACGATAGGGTCTGGGAATGGTCCCTATGACAAGGAAGAATTAAGATAGGCCTAGAACTGTCAACAATCAATTTTACTCAGATTAAATGAATGATTTACATAAATCCTCCACACCTCCACTGCCTTCTGATGCATACTTCACAACGTGTCACTCCTACCTGTATTAAGACTGCAGATTAATTCTGTGCACTTTTCTCCTGCAGATATGAATTAGCCAGACTGAGAGCTCTGGTAGAATGCCCCTCCCCCCCCCCCCTCCCCCACACAGTCACACCAA